TATTGCAAGAGACAAGCCAAGGAGATATATAGTACCTCCTAGGAGGTATGGTCTTGTCGATTGTGTTGCTTATGTGCTTACAGTTGCTGACAATCTCGAGTCTATGCTAGAGCCTACTTGCTATGATGAGGCTATTACGGTTGCAGAGTCAGATAGTTGGATGGTTGCTATGCACAGTGAGATGGAATCTTTGCACATGAATGGCACTTGGGACCTTGTCTCGGCTCCAAAAGGGAAAAAATTAGTCAAATGCAAGTGGGCGTATACGCTTAAAGAGGCTGTTAAACCGGATAACAAGCCAAGGTTCAAAGCTCGTTTGATTGCTAAGGGCTACAGTCAAATGCCAGGTATCGATTATATTGATATTTATTCACCAATTGTTAAACATACATCTGTTCATGCATTGTTGGGATTAGTTGCTTCTATCGATTATGAACTAGAACAACTAGATGTTACTACAACATCCTTAAATGGTGAGCTTGAGGAGGAGATCTTTATGCAACAACCTGAGGGGTTTGTAGTTTCGGTCAAAGAGGACTACATATGCAAGTTGAATAAATCTCTCTACGGTCTTAAGCAATCTCTAAGACAGTGGTATAAGAGGTTTGACTCTATTGTGACTGGTCACGGTGAAAATGTGTACCTATGACAACTATGTTTATTACAAGAAGTGTGATGATGGATCAATGGTCTACTTACTCATATACGTGGATGACATGGTAATCACAGTGAAAATATGAAGGAGATTCAAGTGATAAAAGACCAGTTAAATGCTAAATTCGATATGAAGGACTTAGGGCTGCCAAGAAAATCTTAGGGATGGAAGTTGTGCATGATAGAAGTACGTGGACCTTGTATCTTTCTCATATATATTGAGAAACTCCTACACTGGTTCAATATGCATGATGCAAAATTAGACAGCACACCCCTTGAGGGTTACTTTAAACTATCATCCGCTCAAAGTCCTACTTCAGAGGATGACGTGTCTTACATGGCACATGTTCCATATTCCACTATTGTTGGTTCGTTAATGTGTGCGATAATCTGCACACACCCTGATTTGGCTTATGAAGTCATTGTGGTTAGTAGATATATGGCGAATCTGGGAAAGGAACATTGGAAGGCAGTCCAATGGATTTTTCAATATCTTCGAGGTATGTTATCTGTAAGTTTAAGTTTTGGCAAGAATGATGATGGTGTCTTTGGTTATATTGATTCAGATTATGCCAAAGATTTTGACAAACGAAGATCTATTTCTGGATATGTGTTCACCTGGATGGTTGTGCCCTTAGTTGGAAAGCACAATTACAATCTACAGTTGTGCTCTCTACAACCGATGCCAAATATATGTTACAGAAGGTTTTAAGGAAGCTATTTGGTTGAAAGGTTTGTTTCGTGAACTCGATGAGTCATGCAATGTCACGACGGTGTTTTGTGACAATCAAATAGCAAAATCTCTAACAAAATATCATGTGTTTCATGACCGAACGAAGCACATTGATGTGCGTTACCACTTTTTGTGGGAAGCCATTTCTCGAGGTGAATTCAAAGTGAGCAAGATTCAAACTAACAACAATCCCACGAATGTGTTCACCAAATGTCTTCGCAACACTACTTGCATGGCATTTTGTTTCACCTGCACAACTCTGCTCGAAACCCAACACTCCAAATCCAATATCAACCATGATTTCAACATAATTAGGGGTTAGAACTCACTCAAAATCGATATAGAGACCTTTCTCAAACGAATCCCAATCTGATTGCAACAATAGGTTCAACTTAGAACTCTAAATCAATGGAACATTCACAAACCCTTAGAGCTCTTGATTGAATCTCACCTAATAACCATGGCGAATTATTATTGAACGAAATGAATAATAGAACTAGTTCCCATATACAATTCACAATGATAAGCTCATTTTCTCCAACCAAAAATCATTCAATCGATACATTGAATCCTAAATCCCCCAAAACTAATCATCACTGGAGAAAGTAAACATAAGGGAAGGATGATCTTACCTGAGATGGATCGTTAAACCTCTTGAATCTTCTTTGAAGTCTTCAATCGGCTTCTTCTCTACACCACCTCCACTTCTACGATGGCACACAGCCACACATATATACTAGACTTGAAATCGATACCAACAGAGAGAAAGTGTAGGCTCACCCCTTTATTATCCAAATTACACTTTTAATCCCTACAAATACTACCACATTTCAACTACATACCCTCCAATTGAATCTGTTTACACTAAAATCAAAACTTGGGTTATTAAGCCAAGGCTATCCAGCTCAAGGACATACGGACCCTGCAATCCTTTCCCTTAGTAACACGTGATATGTACCTTCAATGTGCACTAAATGCTCCAAGTATAAATACCTGTGAAGACCTTTCTTCTCGGGTGTCCCTTCAAAAATAATATTTATGTGTATATTTTGTGCAAGAGAAAAACTATGTGAACTTAGTGAATTTTGTTAGAGATTCTTAATGTTATCCCGTTTAGCGAAGTAAGGTTGTTTTTTATTAGGTTTTCTAATTACCTTCTTCCCAAAACAATTTGTAAATGTACTGATTAATTTTTTTTGTGATTAATAAAGAGTTTAAAAAGTAAAAATCAGTGTTTGTACAACCCCTTCTACAAAACCCAACAATTTTGTTTACTCCCTTGGTACCGGCAATTTAAAAAAAATTATATCTACAATGTTATTTAAAATAGAGAGCTTTAGGCCTAGTTTGTTTTCTGTAAAGAAGCTCTTATCAGCTTTTTATGTCTGACGCGTTAAGAGGTAGAACCATTCAGACTGTTTGTTTTTTTCAATTGTTTAGAAGCACTTATGTCTTATTGTTCTCAAATCTGATAAGAGGCAAACCAACATCTTATTTGTCTTTTATTGTTCTTCAAACCCTCAACAACAACGTTTCTCAATCGATTAACTTTAGTCGATCATTACCAAATCAATCATCACATCTCACAATTGATGTATTTTGTTAGAATTTAAATCCGATGACTACCATCAATAACATATTCTTGTTTAAATAAATGTTAATTATATAATTTAGATGTAAATCTTGTAATAACAATGAATAGATATGTGAAATTGTATAAATTTATCTATAAATTCAACACTATAATTTTCCAATGTGTAAACTAGACAATCTAAACAAATTCAGACGTTTACAAAAACAAACAGTCTTATTGATTCAAATTTCAGACTTCAGCACTACCTCTTATAAATCAGAAGTAAAGTAAGACTTAATTCAAACTTCAGTATTTCTTAAAAAAACAAACGCCACGTTAATTTTCTATTTTAGAAATTTTAGCTCTTAAAAGGTAAAGGGAGGTGATTATTTACGTCGATTAATCTTAGGCGGTGTTTGTTTTTTAAGATGTGCTGAAGTTTGAAATCTTATTTCACTTCTAATTAATAAGAGGTGGTGCTGAAATCTAAATCAATAATATTGTTTGTTTTTATAAACTGATAAATGTCTGAATTTGTTTAAATTGTCTATTTTATCAATTAAAACATTATAGTGTTAAATTTATATAATTTCACATATTTATTCATCATTATTACGAAATTTACATCTAAATTATATAATTAGCATTCATTTAAATAAAAATATGTCATTAACGGTATTTAACACATTTAAATTCTATTAGAACACATCAACTGAGACAGGTGAGGATCGATTTGGTAAGGATCGAAAGAAATGATCGTTTAAGTTTAATCATTGAGAAACGCCGTTGCTAAAAGTTTAGAGAATAGTAAGAGACAAATAAGAGGTCGATTTACCTCTTATCAGATAAGAGGTGAACAAGACGTAAGTGCCTCTGAAAAATTGAAAAAAAACAAAACAAAACGGCTGAATGACCTTACTTTTTAACTAATCAGACATAAGAGACTAATAAAAATGTTTTTTAAAAAACAAACAAGTCCTTAATCTTAATATTGCAGGTCTGAATTCGAGGACGATTGTTCATCCGTTTTTTTTAATAAAAAGTGAGGCATGCTGGATTTAACGGTTTGAGTTTAATAAATCATCTTGTTCGTAAACATCTCTGAAATCAGGTTCTTGTTTTTGTAATTAAGGGGCATGGTGACATAATTACAGTGGCTCAACTGCAACTGCAACTGCAACTGCTGTTCATTATTTAATGTTAAACAGTAGTATCACCCATCAAAATAACCCACTACATTTTATATATTTAATGATGATGAGCACTTTTAAGAACAAACGGCCATGGTTCATAACAGTGGTGCCAACCAACTATCCATGGCCGAGACTGAGAGGCATCTGAACCCTCGTCTACAACTAGCTCATAGCTACTAGCTACTACCTCCCACCCTATTGGAAATTGCCAACACCACTCCTTCAAGTTGACCTATTTTCATACCTAAACACCCATTGCAAACTTTCGTATGCCAATTAACGTTACATGTCAGCGCTGAACAGTTACCGCCGGTGGTCCTATTTAGTGCGACATTGGACCCTCATAAAGATAGAATGCACAAAAATACAATTTCTCTCTTCATTATAATACACAATTTTTATTTATTCATTTATGTTAGATAAAAACCTAAACTACGTCACAATTTTTTCATTCACCTACTTAATTCTCGCGTGTCATGTAATCCAATCGAGTTTTGGAGATTCTCCTCATAAATCATCGGTTAAAAAAAAGGACATGGGTTAAGCAACCGAGATGCGGGGTTGTACCTCCCTAACACCCTAAGCTTAAGAATAAAAGAAAAAAGGTACATTGCATGCATGTGAAATGGTACAAATGGTGGACACTGTTTTGGAGTTATCGACACAATTCCATTATTTTATAATTTTAAATCTAACTGCCACTTTCACTCTCAGATTCCATCCACCCATACTATACATTCCATAATAATAATAATAAATATATAAATAAAACTAACATGAGAGAGAGAGATATATATAAAGATGAAATTCATTTATTTATTTATTTATATATATATAAGCCCCCCATTTATTATTTTACTTATATAGTTTTTGTAACCACCATGACCATGATCACTATGGTTAAAACTAAGTTCCAAAATAAAAATAAAATTAAAAAAAAAAGTACAAAAGGCCTCACAAAATTTTACAACTTTTTCTTCAGACACTTTTATACTTAGCAGACTACGGCCCGCCAGAGATGGACAGGGCCACATGAACGCCACGACAATCTTAGCCATGTGCTGCCGCTGTTCCTTGCTTTCTTTTCCTTTTCCCATTTTACCCTTGCTTCTCATCACCCTCCATACGAATCAATCTTCTTACATTACATGGCATGCATTGGGGTTCTCGTCACTGAACAGTTGTGGTGCTGGTGGGTACCCATACCCTGATTCTGCGGTGTATCTTGGAGGGTATACTGCGTAATTCTGTGGATGGTAATAGTAGAATTCATTCTTTCTTACCTCCACCACCTTCGTATCATCACCACCACCACCTCCACCTCCACCTTCACCGCCTTCCTCGCCGCCACCTCCACCGGCTTCTTCACCGCCACCGCCACCGCCACCTCCACCTTCCTTCTTCTTCTCCTCCCCTTCCTTGTCTTTCTCCTTCTCTTTTCCATCACCACCCTCTTCAGCTTTGCCTTCTTCTTTCTTTTCGTCTTCCTTCTTCTCTTCTTTAGCCTTGTCGGCGGCGGCGTCGTCTTCCTTTTTGGGTTCGGGATCTTGTTTCAGAATCACGGCACGTTTCCCGGTTCTTTTGTGAACGTAATCCACCAGCTGCGCTGCCTCAAACGTGCCTTTCACCGATACTTGCGACTGCTTTAGATCTGGCTCTGCACTTTCCACCCCTATAATAATATATACCCACAACAATACAAATTGGTTATACAAAAAAGCATCAAATGGTTGGGATTTTCTTGGAATATATTGACTAATATTAAAATCGATTGCTCAAGTGAGAATTAATAGGGCTTGAAAGATGAAAAGACAGTTAGAATCTTGGAAATAATTCAAGAATTCAAATCAAAAGAATATCGATTACTATTATTAAAAAAAGAGAAAGGAAGACTTTGACTAATATTTTCAAGACTCGAACAAGGGAGATGGAGTGATTTCAAAAGAAACCAAGTCAACCAAGATTCACGATTGACCAAGAAATTCAAACAAAGTTGATTACTTTAAAAACAAGAACTGGATTCACCTTTCATCCTGAGAATACGTTTTCTGATCTCTTGAGCACAAGCTTCACAATGCATGTTTACTTGCAGAACCACAGTAATCACCTGAGGAGGCTGCAGTTGAGCATCACAAACCACGTGAGGATCAACGAATTTTATGTGATTTTATAACTCAGATTACAAAGACTGAATTGAACCTCTTCTTTCTTCTCTTCTGGCTTTGGAGCCTCTTTCTCTTTGGGGGCTTCAGGCTCCTCCGCCGGCGGTTTTGGTATCGGAGAAAGAAGTTCAACCTGCCGGTGACTCTTTTTCTGGACCCTCTCAACAACCTTCAACGGATCTGCCTTTTCTCCCTTCACTACTACCTTATGCGTCTTACAATCCGTCATAACATCTTCCACTCCTAATTAATTAATTAATTAATTAATTAATTCAAATAATTATCAAATCGAAGTTGAATTCAACCAAGATATTCAAAAGTGATATAACGAACAAACCATCAAAGCCTCTGAGGCACCGCCGGACTTTTCTGGCACAGCCTTCACAATGCATGAAAACTCTCAAAACAATCTCCTGAGGCGGAGGTGGTGGTGGTGGTGGTGCCTCCTTTGATTCCTCCGGTTTCTTCTCATCGTCGGCAGGTTTCGGCACTTCCTCCTCCTTCTTCTTCTCTTCCACCTCTGGTTTCTTCTCCTCCTCCGGCTTTTGTACTTGCTAATGAATTCAAGAAAACAAACAACACACACACATCAGAAATGGCAAAAAGATTCCTTCTTTCCAAAAGAGATCCCAAAAATAAAAAGAAATCAAAGAACAACCTCCCCCATTATCTCCTTTTTCAGAAATCAAAAGAGGATTCAGGGTTTATATATATCAGAATGATAAGGTTTAAGAGTGAATCTTTTTTTTTTTAATCTGGATGGCACAGACACGCACACAAAACACAGAGTTATGTGTGTGTTTGTGTGTGGGTGGTATGGGAGAGGAGATTAAAAGGGGGTTGGAGATGTATAGTAATCGTGACTGTATCGTAGTATGAGGATGATGAAGCCCATCAGATATTCAGATCCAAAAGAAAGCACTCATTTCCGTCACACATACCTGACGTGGCTGTTTTATAGCTGCCACGTGAATAGGGGTAGCTCTCCTTCTACGCCCCCTTACGACGGCGTTTTGAGGTGTTTATTCTTGGAAACATTTGGGTAGTACTCACTTCACTGTAGTGGTCCACCCATACCCCTTCCCTATACCGCTGATGTGATTGATCAGATAGTCAATCTTTTGACTTCACAAGAACATTTTACCACGGTTAACCACAAGAAAAATAGAGTAAATTAACAAAATCATCCTCGGAGTTTGTGGAAACTATGGTTTTAGTCCTTAACTTTTCGAAATTACAAGAACCATTCTCAAGGTTTATATCTTGTTACGAGAATGGACCAGGGTCGTTAGGGCCGTCTATTGTTGCCGTTATATGAGGAGCATTATGGTCTCTTGTTATTGCTTTCATATGGGAGATTGTGGTAGCAAGAAAGTTGTGGCAAAGAGGGTTGCTGTAGAAGGAAAGCATTCACCGAAGAAGGATGGCATTCTATGGAGAAAGATGACGGTCGCTAGAGAAGATGATAGAGGTGACTAGGGGTGCGCGTAAGTTGGGTCGAACGGTTTGTTGCATTTAAGCAACCCAATCCAACCAAATCATTACGGTTTGAAAAAACTTAAGTCAATCCAACATAATTCTTGTAGGTTGAGTTAGCATATTAATCACTTTTTTCGCATGTAGGTGACTTAAGAGTGTAAAATGTTATATGACGCTCGATTCAATCATATAGATATAATGGAAAAAAGCACTCAACAATTAAGACGAAGAAAAGAACAACCATAAGCAATCATTTATCACATAACTAAAAGGTACCCAACTGGTTAGTGATATTTTAAGAACTATGGTTATGATACGCTAGCCACTGCTAGGTGCCAGATAAAGATCAAAACGATGAACTAACATTAAGAAGACTTGTTCTTAACAAGTGGACATGTCCCCTTAAAGTAATAATGATAAATCGAAAAGAAGAATATCATTAAGCCTTTTGTTTCTTCACGCAAATTCTCTTTTTTCCACTTCATTATTTTATTTCAAGTCTTTAATTTTTTTTTCCTAAATTGGTAAGTTGACAGTTTCTTTTAAACCATTATAGTGTATATACATTTATATTACTTATATATTAAAGTTGGGTTGAAGTGTAACTAATGTGTAACACCCTAAAATTTGGTACGACTAATTTAAATTTTCCAATAAAAGATAAATTTCTTTCTATAAATCAATACTTGTTTACCTCAAATAACAGTTCTAAATTTAACGTCAATAAAGTGGCAAACTAAACCTTATACAAAGTCTAGGCTAAGTTGGGTGTTACTAAAACCAACAACGATTGATATCTCCAATAAACGAAAGATATTCCCTGGATAACTATTTCCTCCTCGTGCATCTAACCAGCATTCAACGCTTTACGGTGTCACTAGTACCATTCCCCAATAAGGACCTGATGCACATGCCAACAAATAAAAAATGTTAGGCTTTACACCTAATGAGTTCAACAATTTTTTGTCATAATTCAAAAAACCCAATACTCAGTATAATACACAAATAAAGTTTAATGTCAAAATATTGTAAACATGGATAAAAACCCTATTATCCAAAAATACCTAAAACATGGATAAGGTTCAATACTCAAAACTATAAATCATGGAAAGCACTCATACTCAAAACAACACTGAAAACATGGATTAAGCATTGTCTGAAAATAACATCTTTCGCTGACGCGGGAGACTCGTATCCATCGAATATGACGAATACAAAAGTTTGCCACATTCTATGTTAAAAAGTTCCATTATGGATCGCATAGTCATCAAATTCAACGACTCACAATCCGTTGGTCAAGTCATCCACCGATCCTATACATACTCGTTCGCTAGAAGTGATAACCATTATGGACTATACAGTCATCAAGTTCAACCACCCACAATCCATAGTTTGAGTCATCCGCTACGAATCACAAAATCATCAAATTCAACCACCAACGGTTTATATCTTGAGCCCTCCACTAATCTGAGTTTCTAGCTACAACACAAGGATAACAATCTCATTCCAAACCAACTCCTATGTTTTATGGATCCATTGCATTATAGTCTAAAATTACAATAACCCCAAATGAAGGACCTATGCACTCAAAGCATGTACTTTTTTCAAATAAATATGTTGTGATCGCATATAATTTTGAAAGCTCTACATAGAGCAAAATTAAACCGGGCGAATGTCTCCCAAGACTCATCTGAGTCAAAACCGAGCAAATAGCTAAACAACATAATTGACTATCCAATAAAAAGTCATCATAAGCAATAAAACATATATAACCAGTGTTTATGCAAATATATGCTTCAAAAACATTAATTAACTCAAAAACCTATCACTGGTTGGGACAAATCATTCTCCATTTAAAATCATACCATTTACATTTCCAAAATGTTCCATAACACAACAATATGCATTTTGAAAACCAAATACATCAAAATGAATTTATCAACAAATAATCTCAATTTATAAGATAGATCATCAAAATAATCCACACTTACAATTTATTTATCCAAATGTTCAAAAACCTTAAATATATGAACTTCTCAAGATTTTATAAAAGCAAATGTGTAAAAGATGCAAATTTATCAAGTAATCAACAACATTTGTTAAATACTAAGGTGAACAATTCCAGACTCTAAAATAAACATTTTTGACATGTACAAAGTTTTCACAAAACAACTTGAACTCACATTACTAGGTTAAGTTAAACCTATATTCTTAACCCAAGCTCAAGCTTCCAAAGATGATGATTTAAGATCCCCAAGAAACTCTTCCCAAAACGTTTCATCCCCAAGCACTAGCAACTTCTCTTTTCAAAATGTGACCATTTACATAAACTCTCCCAAAGATGAACAAAATCATATATGCTCGTGTCATATGATTCAATCCCCAAAATAGCATTTGGGGTACTTTTACCACACATTTTTGAAGATCCATCATTTTTCCGAAAAAAAGGCTATAAATCCCCAAATCTCCCAAAATTGGTCAAAATCTATAAATATACAAAATACATCACAAGATAACTTCTATGAGACTAAAATGAAAGGTTTAACTGAATAAAGGTTTAGAAAGTTTAGGATAAACTTACAAATCAATTTTCAGGAAAACCCATTAACTAAGTCAACAGTGATGAGGGGATGGTTGAAGAAGATGGAGATTTTGAGCTTCAATCTCTAGTTATAAATCCTTTAAATGCTCTTAAACTCTTCAAAATGGCGATATCAAAGACCTAAGACTGATTTGAGAGGGGGAGGGGGGAGGAGTTAGTGAAAGCATAAATGAACCACAAAGCCAAAAATCTGATTTAAGAGGTTGCAAGTATACCCTAGGTTCTGCCCCGCTTCACAGACTTGAAGGCCCTCTTTCACTGACGCGAAGAAAAGTTGTCCAAAAATGATTTTTCTTAACTATTTAGCATCAAGTCTAACCAATTCAAGGTATCAACCAAGGTTTATTATAATGTCAAAGATACATTTAAAACTCGAAATATACATACATATATCCAGGTGTTACAATCCTCCCAACCTTGGAATAGTTTCAACCCTATTAATTGGTGGTTTGGTCGGTTTTTTGACGGTGCTTAAGGTAACCAAGCAATGGCAGTAACCAACAATGGAGAAGTAGGAGGGCCATCGTTGATTTTGGCTCGAGTTTTACATTTTTTTAGTTTTTGAAATATTTTACAAGTTCTTGCACCAACATCGTAAAAACTTGTACACTCAAATTTTTATAAAAGAACATGTCAAATTACCAAAATACCATTGTGTAACTAGCACGTAGTTCACTTAAACGGATCAAACTTAAAGGCTCTAATGGCCGTAAACAGAAACCAATGAAATGTAAACTTCAATGATGGTCCTTGTAATTTCTAAAAGTTAGAGACGAAAGTTGAAGTTCATACAAACCCTAGTGACAGTTTTTTGTAATTTACTAGAAAAAAAAATACTTTTTAAAATAAAAGATATTGTATTCATTAAGTATATTAAAATACAAAAAATAATATCGAACAAGTATTTTAGCATAACTGAGTACTCAAAATTATGTGGTTTAGAAACTTTTCTGTAACACCGCAAAACTCGTATGAGTTGTGTTATAACATAGATCAAGTTCCTTTTACTTACAAAGTATAAGTAACGGTCATTGAAATCATAAAATAATATACAAGAAAAGATGCACTATAAAAAAGATACGAGACATGGGAATAACATGAGAAGGGTTAGGAGAAAGTAATGATGACATGATGTATACTCAACATGAGATGAGGACGAACATATTGGATGGTGAGTTGTAACATCGTCGTCATGAACTTTGTCGTCACCATTCGAATCACGAATTTGCACAAACATTTTCTCCGTGATTCCAATTCACTTTTCTTTTCAGTGTTCTGCTTCTTTATATACGAAATCGTCAAAGACATACTTGATCACAGGGACTTGTAGTTTTTCAGAAGACGGTCCTCACATTTTTATTGCTTCTCAACTCAATGTTTATTTATCTTGATCAATCATGCGGAAAGTACGGGTACGAGTTTGAAGAGAAAATTAAAACTTTGTTGTGAACATGAAAATGGATCGAAAACAAAGTAAAATACGCTCATAAGTATTGCGTATTCGCTTGTATCAAACATTTAAGGGATTGTTGTTGTATTGATTTTATACCAGTATATTACGTGAAAAGAATATCTGTTTTTGGGTACTATTGGATTTTGACATAATTATATTCATATGTGTGCTTATTAATATTGTATATGAGGCTTAATCATTTGGAAATTTCATAATTTGTAAGATCTGTGATTACTTCTGTTTTGTTTCACATGATTTTTTTCCCATCAAAGTATATTATTTAATATAGAATTAACATATATTTGTTTTATACGGTGTATTTTTTGTTTCACAAACACGCCGATGAAAACTTATGTTTTGTTTCACATGATTTTATCA